TATTTTGACACCAGTGTGAAGGATAATTTTAAGAGTTTAGAGATTAGAGGCAGAAAGACCAGTAAAGAGGCTATTAAAATAGCTCAGAAGAAATGTAACAAGGCCATAAATTGGAGTATCATCAGAAAGACTGGAAAGAAGGAGGGTAGAAGGGCTATTATAGAACTGGAGTTAGCGGAATTTGAGAATTGATTATATTTGGGGAGTGAGGACAAGAGGGAGGAATTAGAGGCCCCCAAATGCTGTAACTTGGGTGACTGAAGAGTTGATGAAACAGGTTCGTGTTTGGGATATGTTTGGGAGAGAGGAGGAAGGGAGCAGAGGGGAGGAGAGGGGAGGGAGAGGGAGAAAGAGGGGAGGGAGAGAGAGAGAGGAGATGCTGACACTATATCCAGTGATCTGTAGTTGCCAGTTGTAAGTGTACGATGGGAGCTCAGAGGACCTGTCTGAGCTGGGTTTAGAGATTTGGAAGATCATCTGCTCAGAGAAGATAATCAAATCTTTGGTAGATGAGATTGCTAAGGGAGAAAGTTTAGCGAAAGTAGAAGGCTCAGGGTAGAGCCTTAGGGGAATGCCTATACTTAGTAATCCATAAAAGAAGGGAAGGGAACAGGTATTTATTAAACACCTACTGTGTGCCAGGCATTATGCTAAGCACTTTACAAGTATTTTCTCATTTGATCCTCACTACAATCCTGTGAAGTAAGTTCTGTTATTATCTCCATCCTACAGTTGAGGAAAGTGATGCAGACAGGCTAAATGACTTAGGATAGGTCACACAACTAGAATCTAAAATCTAGATTTGAATTCAGGTCTTCCTAACTCCAGGCCCAGCGCTGTATCCATCATGCCTAGATGGTACAACAATAATGAATGTCCTGAGAAATGAGGAAAACAGGAGAGCCTCATATGATGCAAGCCAGGGGGAGAATCAAGAACCGAACAGTATGAAGTATTGCAGAAATGTTAATGGAAATAAAGAATGAGAGAAAGCCACCGGATTTGGCAATTAGGAAGTCAGTGGTGACCTTGGTCCTTGGAGTAGTGAATAGAGATAGAAGCCAGATTTGTAGGGACTTGAAGGGTGACAGGGTGGTGAGGCAATGGAAGCAGGGGGACAAAGCTCTTCTTTTTACAAGCTTAAAAAAGACAAGATGACATTTTAGGAGGCACCAGGGTCCAGGGAAGATAAGGATGGGTGAGTCCTATACCTTTTTTTTTCTTCTTTCAGGCAGAGAGAAAGGAGCCAGCAAAGAGGAAATGATTGAAGGCAAGAGAGTATAAGGGTAACTAGGTGGTGCAGTGGATAGAGTGCTGGGCTTAGAATCAGAAAGTCTCATCTTCCCTAGTTCAAAACTGGCCTTAGACACTTACTAGCTGTGTGACCCTGGGCAAGTCACTTAACCCTATTTGTCTTAGTTTCCTCATCTATAAAATGAGCTAGAGAATGAAATGGCAAACCACTTGAGTGTCTTTGCCAAGAAAAACACAAAAGGGGTCACAAAGAGTCAGACACGACTGAAAATGACTAAATATCAACTAGAACATAACAAGCACTTAATAAATGCTTATGGATTGATTTGCTGAGTGACTTGATGATGGGAAGAGTTGGAGTTAGAGACTTGAGGAAAGAGTAAAAGATTTGGACAACCACTTTGGGAGGCCGGTAAAAGAATTTGAAGTAACAATGAGAACCCAGTTGAGGTTAGATTGAATACATTTGTGGTAGACTTTCTCGATTTCCTCCAGTATTAGTTGGAGAATAACAGGACACAACAAAAGAAAGTCAAGGGCATGAGGGATGTGAGACTGAATTCACTACTCCATTCACTGGCCAGAGGGAAGGTGTTCCGCTTGACCATTTATAACACCGATAACATTGTTTCTAGGAGAGGCCCTGTCCCTCACAAGCAATATCAGGTTTTCAGAGAACTGAGGAACAATGTTAAGTGAGGTATGTATGTAGTGCATACTTCTTTGAGAAAAGAAAGAACAAATAACAGGTTTACAAAGGAATCATGGGTCTATACAGAAATGCAAACAAATACTACAATGAAAATAATTGTGTAAATAATCTGTTTGGTGACTAAAAAGTCACAAATCTGTTGCATACAGAAGCCTTTGAAACTAGCATACCGTCTATTGATCACAGTGAAGAATGTCAATTTCCAGCTTATTAAGTGTGTTTGTTTTTTACCAGGTGGGTAAAATAGTATTACAAAATAGTAATGAAAATAGTTTCATTATGTTCACTTCATCCTGAATAAGAAGCCAATTGCATCTAGTAATTTAATTCTTTCTGTTTCTCTAATTTAAGATTTTCCCAAATGGCCAATGGTTTCCCTAAGTATAAATAAACAATCATTTTGCTCTGAATTTATTTTTCTTACTGGGTGGAAATTAACCCAATGAGGTAGCTAGGTGGTACAGTGGATAGAGTGCTGGACCTGGAATCAGGAAGACCAGAGTTCAAATCCAGCCTCAGATATTTACTAGCTGTGTGCCTCCAGGAAAGTCTTTTGCCTCAGTTTCTTCAACTGTAAAATGGGTATAATAATAGCATCTAACTCCCAGGTTTGCTGTGAGCATCAATCAACCAATAAGCATTTATTAAACACCTACTATTGCCAGGTATTGTGCTAAGTGCTGGGGATATAAAAAGAGGCAAAAGACAGTGCCTGCCCTCAAGGAACTTACAATCTAATTGGGGACACAACATGCAAACAAATGTATGCAAACCAAGCTATATGTAGGAAAAACAAATAATTAAAGAGGTAAGGCACTGGAATTAAGAAGAGTTGGGGAAGGCTTTCTGTGAGATTTTAGTTGGGACTTAAAAAGAGCCAAGGTGACCAATAGCAGGAATGGAGAAGGGAGAGGATTCCAGGCATAGGGAACAGCCAGTGAAAATATTTCAGACCCAATAGATAGAGTATTTTATTCGTGAAACAAGTGTCATTGGATTGAAGAGTGTAGATTGGGAAATGAGGTATAAGAAGACTGGAAATGTAGGAGGGGACTTTGAATGCCAAACAGAGCATTTTGTATTTGTTCCTGGAACCAAGAGGAAGATTCTGGAGTTTACTGAGTACGAGGTAACATGATCAGACCTATGCTTTAGGAAATTCACTTTAGTGGCTGAGTGGAGTATACATTAGAGTGGGAAGAACCCACCAGAAGGCTATTGCATTATTCAAAATGCAAGGTTGTGGGGGCCTGTAGTCGAGGGCTGACAATATCAGAGGAGAGTAGTAGGTGTATTTCAAAGATGAAATCTACACGCCTTGGCAACAGATTCAATATAGAAGGTGAGAGATAGGAAGGGGTCCAGGATGACTCCTAGGCTGGGAGCCTGGGAGGATGGTGGTGCCCTCTACAGTAATAGGGAAGCTAGGAGGTAGGGAGGGTTCAAGGAAAAAGATACTAAATTCCATTTTGGACATACTGAGTTTAAGATGTCTACTGGACATCCAGTCCAAGATGTCCAAAAGGCAGTTGGAGATGCAAGATTGGAGGTCAGCAGAGAGATTGGGGGAGGAGAGTAGATTTGAGAGTCATTAACATAGAGATGGTAATGAAATTCATGGGAGCAGATGACATCACCAAGTGAAGTAATAATAGAGGGAGAAGAGAAGAGTGCCCGGACAAAACTCTGAGGGACACCTATAGATAAAGGGCGTGATCTGGAAGAAGGTCCAGCAAAGCAGACAAAGAAGGAGCAGTCAGATAAGGGGTTAATAATAGAGTAAGAGGGGAGAAGGTGAAAGAGAAGCCCTTTTCTAAGAGTTTAGCTTTGAAGGGCAGAAAAGATGTAGGATGATAGGTATGGAAGGATCAAATGAGAGTTTTTTCAGGGTAGGGAAAACATGGGCATGTTTGTAGGCAGGGAGAAATTGGAAATAAATGAAAGAAAGTGAATGACAGAGGGGACAGTCTATTGGAGGACATAGAATGGAATGGAATCACTTGAACAAGTAGAGGGGCTAGCCTGGATGAGGAGTAAGGTCACCTCATCATGTGAAACGGGTGAAGAAGAGGTAGTGGCAGAAGGCACCTGAGTAACAGGAGATGAGGAAGAGAGGAGTTCATACAAATGGCCTCAATTTTTTCTGTGAAATATGAGGCAAAGTTCTCAGCTGAGAGTGGGGATTGGGGAGCCATAGGAGGTTTGAGGAGGGATGAAAAGATTTGTAAAAAGCCACTATGAAAAGTGGAATAGTGAGTTGATAAGGGAGGTATAGGAGGATTGCCTAGCAATAGTGAGGGCCCAATTGAGGTTGCATCACTTAAATTTGTAGTAGACCCATTCAGAACAGTCGGATTATTTTCTCTACCTTCGTTCAGCAATGCATGTGTAGGATAATGCAAGATGACGGATAGTGGGAATGATCCAAGACTGAGGCTTGACTGGGCATAATCAGTGATATGATAAGGGGGGCTAGGGATTCAAGAGAGTAGGACAGTAGAATTGAATTGGTTCACCACGGAGTCAAGATGAAGAGAGAGTGGCTAGTGCAAGGGATATAGCTTGGGAGAGAATTGAGGGGTCAAGGGATTGGAGGTCTTGGATGAAGAGTAGAGTTTTATAAGGGAAGGCAGAGGGAGAGGTAAAAAGCCAATAGATTATGGTTGGATGAGCTGATTTCAGAATTCTTAAACCTGGAGGTGGTGCATTTGTAGATAATGGCAAGATCAAAAGTATGAACATCATTGTGTGAGGCTACAGTGGGGTGGATGAAGAGCTAGTGGGAAGTGGATAGCTTGAGGAATTGAGTGGTTAGAGTTTTTGAGGGAGAATCAATATGTATGTTGAAGTACCCTAGTATGAGGGCAGGAGTTGGGAAGGAGAGAAAAATTGTGAACCGTGTGTCTAACTCATGAGGAAGAAAGGAAAGTGCTTAACAAAAAGGAAGATAAGATTCAGAATCAGGACTGAGCTCTTAGCTGTCAAAGGAAATCACTCTTTTAGGACCCAACTCACGTTTCCCCTTTCTTTCTAGATGGCAGCACCACGAAGACAGAAGGATAAGCAAAGGACTAAGTAGGAGGCCTGACTATATCCTTTGCTACTTCGACCACAACTTTGTCTTCTATGCCTTCTATAAAATCAACACATTGAACGGGGGAAGGGGGAGGAGAGGGGGGCTGGCTATTTTAAAACTAACAAACTTATCAGAGACTTCATTCTGGAATGTGATTTTAGACTGTATTCAGCACTTTGGGTCTATTTTGGCTGTTTCTTTATAGAAGAGTCAATTCTACCATGTGACTCTTTTCCCTAAAGCTAACAGGTTTTGCTGACAAAATTCTCCCACAAAGCTTGAAAGCATTTCAGGAGTGTCAACTGCGCGTTATCCCTTCATGTGCAAACACAGCTCATCACAGAGGCATTCAGGTACTACAATCAAAAGGGAAAATAGGCAGGTTGGATTTCTAGACCCTTATTTTGTCTTCTTAAAAAAAAAACACACCACACAGCTCCTTACGTCCAAGTTCAAAATGCCAGCCTTGGAAAAAGCTCATTGTAAAACTTGGGTTGTTTGAATGCCTCCCTGCAATAGCCCATTTTGCATTGTTTTCCCTGGGGTTATGTCAGCCTCTCCATGATATATGCCTGTTTCCAGGTATGTACAGTGCATCTCTAAGTACTTGATTCCAGGCTAAAAGCTGCGGTGAACTGAGTTTCAACTCATAGTTTAAAAAAAAAAATCAAAACCTCCAACACACCCCCAAACCAGAAAAATCAACCCAAAAAAATTTGACCCTTCTCTGCCCCATATCAATTTGGCTGTTTCAAATTTATAAAGATACCCAAACATGTGCATTTTATAGTCTCTAAGAGCTATAAACATGGCTTCATTTTTAAGAGATTTGTCCGGTATGTGTATTTTCGTTGAAGAGGAGGGAGGTGGGGGAACAGGGGGCGGAGATGGAGCCAAGGAATAATTGGCTTGGAATTTCAGTGTATTGGGAATACATCTGAAGGGGAGTGGGTATTCATGCACAAATGTCATCATGTTTTGGTTAGCAGCCATTTGACGTGTAACAAGAGCAGGATGACTCTTGAAGGAACTGGGAAATGTAGGACTGGAGCTCAGAAGATCAGTTGGGGTTGGGTGGGAGTGGGGAGGAGAAAGAGACATGTTTAACCTGAAGAAGAAAAGAGTCAGGAGGGACATGACAACTGTCCTGAAGTACTTCAAGACTTCTCATGTTCAAGAAAGACTAGCCTTCTCTTTGGCTCTCTCAGAAGGCAGAAGCAGGAGAAGTAGGTTGAAGCTGCCAAAAGGCAAATTTGGGTACAATATCAGGACGAAAACTCCCTAAGAATTAGAATTGTCCAAAAGTGAAATAAGCTGTCTTAGGAGGTGATAGATTCTCTCTTTGGAGACTTTTAAGTAAAAGCTGGATCACAATGTGTTAGATACAATGGAAAATCTTTTTAGGTGTGTTTTTGACAAGATGGCTGCTAGGGTTCCTTACAATTCACAAACTCTGTGACTCTAACAGGGATGCTATGGAAGTGATCTTGGGGTGGGAGTGTCCCTTTTTAGGGGACACTAAAAATGTAGTTATTACTCTGTCAGGTCAGTTGAAATGGACTCTGAGAAGTCACATATGGATTTCCACTAATTATATATTTCCCCTCACCCTTTCCTCTTGTACTTTTTCTTCTCTTTACCTCATTTATCCACTTAACAACCAAGTAGAAGGTGGTAAGAGAAGAGTGTCTTAATATTTGTGATCTATAAATGATATATATTTCTGCTCCCTTAACTCTCTCTTTTAAAGTTTTATTGATGTTTTCTTATGATTTTGCTAAGATTTGCAGATTATTCTCACTTTGTGAGAAATCTCTTGTAACAAAAGTTAAGTAAAACTAACAGTACAGTGACCTCAAATGAAAGTACATGCAATATTACACATCTCTCTCACCTCTAATTAATAAAATAATAGAAATAGCAAAATAATAGAAATCAATTTTCTATCCCATTTCTACCCCATTAAAATAATAATTGTAACAAATATGCATAATCAAGCAAAATTAATTACATCAATAGCTAAAAATCAAATATACATCTCTTATTTGTGTGTATATGTTATATTTTTCCTTCTGCACCTCAAGGAAAATTTCTACCTTGAAGCAAATAATTTCTATCTTCTGTATCAGTTGATACTTCTAAGACTGAAACACACACACACAAACAAAAGGAGGGGCAAGATCTACAAGAAAATAACAAAGAAATTGTTTAAAGGCAGAAATAAAATAGGTTTTTTGAAAGCTTTCATTCCATAAGGAGCAGAGAAGAGATTAAAGGAGAAATAAATGGTAAGGACAATGAATTAAAAAGTATAAGTTTAGAATAGATAGAAAGGGGAGATAACTGAGGAAGATAAGAGAAAATAATCATTGTTAGAAAAAAAGAGTAGAAAATTTGAAAAAGCTAATAAAAGAAGTCAAAGGTGGTAGAAAAAGGGAAATTTTTCCTTACTTAACCAAGAGAAAAAAAAAGAGAGGAAGAATTAGGAAACTAGATAACAGGGAGAAAGAAAAGGGAAATAATAAATTAAAACTGCAAAACTGTGGAAAAAGGTAACAAACAGGGGAGACAGGACTTAAGAGTAAGGGGAATGGAGTAATGTAGAATAAACTAGGTTAGGCAAGAATAACCAAAGAGACAAAATACCACATTTAAAGAGAAAGATGAACCAAAAAATTTCTTATTCAGAAAAAAAGAGACACAAATGGAAAACTATAAACATACCTCTCATGACTTTTAAGTGTGAATGGATTAAACGATTTAATAAAATGAGAGTGATGGGTTGTAAGAGAAAATAAAATCTCATAAGCTGTTGCTTTTAAGAAACATACCTAAAAAGCAAAGACATACATGCAATAAAAATGAGAGGCTGGAACAAAATTTGCCATTTATTAGAGGAGTCAAAAAAAAAAGCACAAGTTACAATCATGCTGTCAAACCAAAATTAAACATAAAAGAGATAAACGAGGAAACTGCATTATACTGAAAGGAACCTTGAACAACACATCAATATCAATATTAAACGTATATACGCCAAATGGCTTAGCATCTAAATTCATGAAACAAAAATTAATGGATAACAAGAAGGCATATAGAGTAATACAATAATAGTAGGAGACTTTAATTTCCTTCTTCCGGTTTTGGAGAAATATAACAAGAAGATAGATGTAAAGAAGGTAAATGGGTTAGTGGATAGAGTGCTGGGCTTAGAGTCAAGAAGACCGGAGTTCAAATCTGGTCTCATTCACTAGCTGTGTGACCCTTGACAAGTTACTGTAACCTGTGTTTGCCTTAATCCACTGGAGAAAGAAATGGCAAACCAGCTCCAGTATCTTTGCCAAGAAGACTTCATGGACAGTATTGGTGTGCTATGTATGGCCCATGGGGCTACAAAGAGTCAGACATGACTGAATGACTGAACAGCAATAACAACGGGAAGTTAAACAAAAGGCAAAATATAGGATTGGGCCAACTGCTGGGAAAATTAGAGCTAAAAGATTTATGGCATCTTTAAAGTGGGAGTACCAAATGAATACACATATGTCTCAGTGCCACATGGAACTTTTACAAAAGCTGACCATTTGTTAGGGTACATGTATATTGCAAAAAAAAAATGTAAAAATGGCAGATCATAATGCAATGAAAATAATAATTCAGAGAGCACACAAAAAACCTAGACCCAAAAGGAGACTTAACAATAAAATCCTAAATAATGAATGGGGCAAAGAATAAATCACACACACAATTTAGAATTATATGAAAGAAAATAATAATGATGAAACAACACACCAAAATTTCAGGGAGCAGGCAAAGCAATTCTCAGGGAAAATGATATTACTTAAAATGAACATCAACCAAATAGAAAAAGAGGGGATTAGTGAACTGAAGATGCAATTTTAAAATTAGAAATCCAACAAATAAACAGATGCAAAATAAGCACAAAAGAGAAAAAAATTAGAGGAGAAATGGATAAATTGGAAAACAGAAGCACTATGGCAATGATCAACAAAATTAAAAGTCATTTTTTAAAAAGACTAACAAAATTGAAAAAAAAATAGCCAACCTGATTTTTTTAAATGAGGCAGAAAATCAAATAAAATAAAAAACAAATTAAAATCACAACAAAACCAGAAGAAATAGAATCAGAAGCTACCATGCATAGTTGTATGCTAACAAAACTGAAAATACAAAAGAAATAGAAAATTACCTTCAAAGATATAAAATACTCCAAATAACAGAAAACTAAATTTAAATAATTCCATGTCAAAAAGGAAATTAAACTAATTATAAAGGAGTTGTCAAGGAAAATAATTCTTGTCCTAATGAACTTACAAAAGAAATCTATCAAACTTTTAAAGAACAATCATATAATCACTACACAAATTATTCTCAAAAATTAAAAAAGAAGCACTCTACCACACTCCTTTTTGCAAGACTAATATCATCCTAATACCTAAACCAGAAAAGATAAAACAAAGATGAAGAACTATAGATCAATATCATTGATGAATATTAATTCAAAAATTTTAAATAAAATCATATCAGTCAGAATACAGTAATTATTCCAAGAAATCATTCACCATGACCAAGTTGGGTTTATATGAAAGAATCATGGATGGTTCAACATTAGGAAAACAATCAACATAATTGATCACATTAAAAATAAAAATATCCTAGATCACATTATTATTACAATAGGTGTGGGAAAGGCCTTTGACAAAATATAATACTCACTTATGCTTAAAACCCTATAAACTAGGGGGGCAGGTAGGTGGTGCAGTGGATAGAGCTCTGGCCTTGGAATCAGAAGGACCGGAGTTCAAATTTGGCCTCAGACACTTGATACTTACTAGCTATGTTAGCCTGGGCAAGTCACTTAACCCCAATTGTCTCACCAAAAAAAAAAAAAGGGCAAAAAAACCCCAAACAAACCCAAACCCTATAAACTATAGACACGGAGGGACTGTTTTTTAAAATCATTTTTAAAAAAAATCTAAAACAAAAGCAAGCATCATATGCAGTGGAGATACACTAGAAGCTTTCCCAGGAAAGATACGAGTAAAGTAAGGATGTCCGCTTCCCACACTGTTACTTGATGTAATTCTGGAAATAAAATTTGCAATAAAACAAGAGAAAGACATTAAAGGCATAAATATATGAGATAAAACATCCTTATTACTGATTATATGATAGTTTAGTTAGAAAATCCTATGGAATTCACAAAGATACCATATAACAGTAGCCAGAGCCTCAGACCATGCCCTCAGATTTCACAGAAAAATGTAAACTACCTTGAGTAAATGAAAAAAGAAGCTCCAACTATCCCATGGGAAAATTGCATGTGACCCTGTGTTCGTGTGCCTTCTTTGTTCTTTTGCTATATAGTACCAGACTTGGCCTATGGTTGGTGTGGGAATCCACTACACCATTTTGTCTTGCTGCCACCCAGGAAGACTGGTCTCATGAGTAAACTGTTTTAGGCAGTTAACCTAATTAACCTTAATAAAAAATAAATAAATAAATAAATAAATATGTGTGTGTATGTATGCATATGTATGCATACACATATACATACAAGTATACATGTATGTACATACATATACCTATATGTGTGTGTATGCATGTATGTATACATATATGCAGGCATATACATATACACAATAACACACATATGCACACAACTGAGGTGGCAATGGGCTCCTCTTTCTTCAGTATCTCAGTATTGTCTCAAAGGTTCTCCATCCCTACATTTGGCATACCAGGACTGAACAGATCAGCCCTCTTACATTTGGCCTTACAATTGGTGTAGCTGACAGAATAATCT